GAGGGGCGGCCAAAAGGAGAGGATGGAGCAGACGGGGAGGTTGGGTGACTGGGGGGGGGGATGTGAGCGTTCTGGAAAGGGTAAGAGAGGAGAGGATGGGCGTAATAGGAAAGGAATGGGTGAGAGGGAATACGTTGGTAGATGCGGGCGAGTTGAGAGACGGTAGTGGGAATGCGGTAGTGTTGGGTAGAAGGAGGTGAGATAGGAACATGGGGACGAACACGAGGGGACGGGCCGGAGGAGCATAGGGACGGAGGCGGATAAGATCGATAGGGGCAAGAAACGGCAGAAGATGCCCTGTGAGTGTAAGCAAGTGAATGGACGGGGTAGGAGAGAGTGGCGAAGAACAAACGAATGGGAAAGCTAAGCGTTGTGGAAGGGTTTGAAATTCTGGCAGGGTGAGGCGCGAGAGTGAGGGCTGGCAGCAGAGGTCAGAAGTATGTAAGTGATAAGGGGAACGGACGAATGGCAGGAGGCGGTGGGAAGTAGGACGGACGTAGGAGTCAGAAGCGAGACGGTGCTAATGGTGGGTAGTGGGCGGTGGACGATGGGCAGAGGGTGTCTCGGAGAGCGGGTCGGAGACCGGCAGTGAGGCAAACGGGCGGGAATGACTTCTCGGACGAAGGATTATCGACAGTCGAGGAAGGATGATCGACAGAAAGCGGTAATCGACAGTCAAGGCGGTACGAGCAAGCGGGGGCGGGCCAGCGTGTCAGAAAGCGCGAATGGCAAGGTGAGGGAGCAGGGATGATGAGAGAGCGGGACGGCGAAGCGGGTGAGGACTTCTTAGAGTAGGAAAAAAATGGCGAACGGGCATGGAGGAATAAGAGAAGTGAAAATGGGTGGACTGATGGGTTGGGTCGCTCAATAGGGCGAAGGAGGCAGGGTGGATGGTAGGAACGAGGCAATGGCGAAGAGCAAATCGACGAACCTTGGTTGAATAATTGATGTTTCTGGGTACTTTAACTGCTATAGTCATTAGCCCTGTCAGTGAAATGAAAGTTTTATTCTGAGAGATGATGGTGTCCCTCCCTGCTTCATGATGAACTCCGACCTACACGAATGGTTAGCGGGCAATTCCCCGAAAAGGCATCTCCCCAGCAGAGCAAGGCCCCAGACAGGACCCAGTCTAATCTCCTGATTGGTCTGCCAATATTTGTGTTAGTGAAGAGTATGTAGGTGTGTGTGTACGTAAGGCTGAGGATAGAATAAGGAAGAGAAAGAAAACACCGCGATGTTTGTTAGGGTGCGGCTCTGGCATTGAAATGGTGTTAATGGAACAAACCCTGGAAAATTACCGCACAGAGCAGCTGGCAGCTATAAATCTTCCCCAGACTGCGGCTGAATTTGACCTAGCTAGTGTCGAAAATCTACCATCGTCGGTTCTCAAACCTAGTATGAGAGTTGTTGCAGAAATAATGATAAACTAACAGCTGGCAAGATGAATATGTGTTGTCAGAGAAATGAGAATAACGTGGACGAAAAAATACACGACTGAGAAGATCGTAGCTAGTCTGACAGTGGAAAGAAGGCGAGGACGTGTTACTGGATGAGGCAGAGAATCAAGGAGTAGTGGATGAACGATTGTATGTGGAGAGAGGCTGCGATTGGCAGGACAATTGTGTGCCTGTGAGCAAGTCTGGACAGAAAGCGAGCAGATTGATAAAAGTACGCACGGTGTCATAGACGGAATGTGGGAACACATATGGCAGCGAAGCGATGGATGAGAGCTGGGAAGAGCGGAAGAAGTAGACGGCAGGTGGGCAAAGAAACGAGCCGAAGAATGGGAGAGGGGTGGAAAATGATAGGAGTGGTGAGTGAGGGTCGGTGTAGGCTGGAACCGAAGATCGGGCGAGGGGCTCAATTTTCCAGATATCTGAGACGTTTTTGAAAATGGGCTTACTGTGTCCACCCCTAATGATCGTGCCAGTTTCTTCTGTGAGTTTGAGCGAGTCTTCACTCAGCAATGCCTGCCAATTCTTGGCATCCTCAAAAAACTTTCACTTTTCCGCACTTATCCGGTCTTCACGGTTTAAAGTCACGCATTTCCTGATGCGTTGAAACCAATCGCGACACTTCTCTACTAAATAAGTCCGTCACTATAAGTACTGGGAGAGCATTGCGATGACGACTCAGTCGCAGTTTTCTTCATATTGAAACAAAAAAGAATGCCTCCCAAATTGACG